ACACACACACACACACACACACACACACCCCGCGCATGTGACAAATACGGACTTTAAATGTGAAGTTTTATAACATCCACACTGGTGAGGTGGATGCGCCCTGCACATGTATCCAAAGCGTGACTTTTGCTGTCGTGCTGTTGAAATGTGTCTGTCGGGGAGGGGTCTGTGGGTCAGGGTCTTGAGGAGGAAGGAGATGGAGATGCGTGAACTTTTATTTAAGATTTAAGTTTTTTTTATTTCAAAGGTCCTCATGGCTCAGCAGCAGAAGCATAAATATTACTGTTAAGAAAGCTGATGATAAAGCTGAATAAAAATCTAAGTTTGATTATGAAGTGAAATTAAATATCTGACAGTGATCATTATACTGTGTGGCTCTAATTCCTCACTTCACCATCTGTGTCGCAGTTTCCCGTCTCCAAAATGAGCGTACACATGGGTCAGAGCTGGCTGAGGCACCGCACATTTTCACGTCAAGTTTGGATTTTATAAATCACAACCTTGGCATGAAAAGTGGCGTACGCAAGTTTCTGGGCTCGTTTTGTGCGTACACAAGCTTTATAAACCCGACCCCAGATGCGTTTGGGGGTTCCCAGGACCCGGCTAGTGAATAAAGGGGACAGAGCCTTCTCAGCTGTGGCTCCTAAACTTTGGAACAGTCTACCTCTTTCTGTGTGGTCTGCCAGAACACCTGATGAGTTTAAATCTCTTTTAAAGACCCATCTTTTTGGTTTGGCTTTTAACTCCAGAGAGCACATGCAATAGCCTAGTCTGTCTGTCTGTGTGTCTGTCTGTCTGTCTGTCTGTCTGTCTGTCTGTCTGTCTGTCTGTCTGTCTGTCTCTCTCTCTCTCTCTCTCTCTCTCTCTATTTATTTTTTCTTCCCTCCATTTTTATTTTTAAAGTTGGGATTATTTTGCATGCTTTTATATTACTATGTTTTTATTTTTTGCTCTGCAGCACTTTGGTTGCCTTGGGGTATGTGAAGTGCTACATAAATAAAGTTTTGATTGGTTGATTGATTGATTGATTGATTGATTGATTGATTGATTGATTGATTGATTGATTGATTGATTGATTGATTGATTGATTGATTGATTGAGATGTTAAAACATACAGTATAAAGCAATAAAACTCAGTTTATTAACAACAGCACCCCCTGGACTCAAGACTAACATGTTCAGGTACAGCTCAGCTTTAAATTGTTTTTTAGCAGTTAGGGCATTGTATTGACACATGGACATGATGTGGGCTCTTAGTTATGGTGAAGAATGGACCTGAAATGTAATTCTTACTCCCTCTTACTGACCTAAATTGTACAGCATATGGCTGTAGGAAGAGGAAACTGCGATGTGAGGACTGGAGATGCTGCTCCAGCCTCAGGCCCTTTCTGGTTATTGACCACGTCTGCATTAGCTGAGAAAATGATCCGGAGCTCTGAGAGCACAGAGGAAACGTTCTCATCTCTGGCATCATCGTATTAAATTACACATGTTGTTTTTTTATTAGGTTATGATCTCTGCTCTTTGCTGCTTTTTATTTCACTGGATTTGTTCTGTGCAGGTGGAAAACAGCTTTTAACTGCTAAAATCATTTTACTGCAAATACACCAGACTGTACAAGTTTATTGTTAAGATAGAAGCTAATATTTATTAAAGTAAAAAAACATGTTTAATACAAGTTTTTGCTTCTCCATTATGATTATGTGCGGAGCAAAAGAGCAGAGATAGTTAATGCATCAGTGAGATCAGACGCCAATGGGATGACTGGATTTTGCTGAGTCATCGCTGATCTTACCAGAAATGTAAATTAGTCAACTCAAGTTTATTGCCAAAAAAAATACATTTTACCAGCATCTATCAACTAATGTGAACTGTCTTAACGCTATAAAAAAATGCATCATTGTTAAAATCTTCAGTGTGAGTGGAAAGATGGTGGAGGTAATAGTTGTGAAGTTGAGGATAAGTAAATCCTAAAACATTGGACAAACAAGGGAAGTCTTATTATTTACCTGTTCTGTAGTTGACACTTAGAAAATATTCACTGCAGACCAGTGATACTTCAGGATGAAATTTGTCTCTACTGATATTAACTGACCATCATCATTGGACCTTAGAAGTTCCAAGGCTTGTCCCAGACCTTTACCTTGAAAATTGATAATCAGGTCATTAAATGTCTGGAAAAAGTCAGAAATCTGGGTTTGTGGTTCTATCCTGTGCTTTATTTTGAGTCTCACTTAAAAGAAGTAACAAGGACCACCTTTTACTATCTTAGGAACATTGCCAACATCTGGCACATTCTTTCATTTGATGATGCTGAGGTCCTTATCCATGCATTTGTGAGTTCACGCATCGACTATTGTAATTCTCTTCTTTCCAGGAACAAAAGAAGAGAAAAAGTCTGCAGATGGTCTAAAATGTGTCTACCTGCATTTTAACTAATACCAGGAAATATGACCACATTACCCGTGTTGTCATCTCTTCACTGGTTGTCAGGTTCAAGATGATTTTAAAATCTTGCTGATCACCTTCATGGCTTTAAATGGTCTGGCGTCCCCATATCTCTCTGACCTCTTGCACCCTTATGTTCCACCTCGTTCGCTCAGATCTGAAGGTACTGACCTTTTAATAATTCCAAAAGCCAGAAGAAAAACTGTTGGTGAACTTGCCTTCTCTTTTCATGCCCCTTCTCTGTGGAGCAGTCTCCCTCAGGACATCAGGCAGGCCTGTTCTGTGGAGAGTTTTAAAGCTCACTTGTTCACTCTATCTTATGTGCTTTGATGATATTTTTATTTTCATTCATTGCCTTTAATCTATTTCTGTGATTTTATCTATTGCTACTGTTCAGCACTGTTTGAAAGCACTTATAAATAAAGTTATTATTATTATTATCTTCTCAACAGCTCAGGTTTGTCTAACAGAAACCTAAAAATAGTTAAATTTATCATATTTTACACTGTGTAAATATTACATAAATTAAAGACAAAACCGCTTGTAATATTAATAAGTAGTGTTAAATTGTGGCATTATTCAGAGTGCTACACTCCCTATAACAATATATGCGACAGAAGCTAATATGTTAACCAGTTCAATAAATAACAATGATTACATTGACTTTATAAGATTAATTTAATATTAAACTGGTACATTATTAGCTTCAGTTCTGCACAGATCACATCCATATCAAGGTAAATAAGATCAAATCTGTTTACTTATGAAATGAGACGTTTTCCTGTTTCTGTTCTGTTGGTAAATCCAAAACTTACACAGCTTTCTGACACTTTTATATTATATAGTTTATACACACTCTAACATATTAATAATGATTTCCTTTTTATCATTAATAGGTTTTACATGATCAGTCCTTATTGTTCAATATTTTGTCAGTATATACAATAATCATAAATCCAGACTCTTGCCTGGTCTGGTTAGCTTCACAGCTTCTACAGTAGATCACCTGGTCACATGACCAAGACTCACTTCTATATAAGTCCATGATTCAAACCTTAAACAGCTGAGGGATGAGTTGCTCCTGAAGTCAAGATAAGCCTGAAAGCCAGTGAGTTGTGGAAAATCATATTTTTGTTGGAACTAACAATAAAAAAATAGTATTTTTCTGCTTCGTGATGAGGGAACCAGCCTCTTTGAGCTACATGCAGAGACGAGCTGAAAACATTCATGACTACAGCTGGCAATAATGAAATAAAAGCTTTTTTTATTGTTATTATAACCAAATTGAATTTTTAGGTTTCCAACTGTTTTTATTTTATTCTTTAATGGTTGAAGCACCAAAGGTAACTTCAGAAGCAGGAGATGACTCAGTCCTTCCCAGCAGCTCAGATCCTGTTTCACGAGTGTCCCCCTCCCTCCCTCCCTCCCCCACTCTGACCTGTGTTCCTTCTCCTGTCTTTCAGCCATCATCAACCCCAAGCAGGCGAAAGACAACAAGAGCTTTAACTTTGATTACTCCTACTGGTCGCACACAACGGTACCTCCCCCTGCAGCCCATATTTTCACCAAAGAGCACATTCGCCCAGTTTTTAAAGGTTTTTCTGAATCTCTGTCCGCAGCCCGAGGACATTAATTATGCCTCTCAGGTGCAAGTGTACAAAGACATCGGAGAGGAAATGTTGCTCCACGCGTTCGAAGGCTACAACGTCTGCATCTTTGCGTACGGTCAGACGGGCGCCGGCAAGTCCTACACGATGATGGGCAAACAGGACGTGAAGGATCAGCAGGGCATCATCCCACTGGTAGAGGAAAACAATCAGTCCACATAATAAATGAAAGGAAGAGTTTCTCTTTACCTGATGTTTTGATTCTCCTTCCAGCTCTGTGAGGATCTTTTCACAAAGATCAATGACAACACAGACAACAGCATGTCTTACTCCGTGGAGGTAAGACTGCATGGTTGCATCATCAGATTTAAAGTTAGTCCCTTGGTAAAATATTTAAACCTTGTGTTTGAGCAGGTCAGCTACATGGAGATCTACTGCGAGCGAGTGCGGGACCTGCTGAACCCTAAGAATAAAGGGAACCTGCGCGTGCGTGAGCATCCTCTGATGGGACCCTACGTGGAGGACCTGTCCAAGCTGGCCGTCACCTCTTACAATGACATCCAGGACCTGATGGACTCTGGGAACAAAGCCAGGTGACGGACACATCATTTTAAATGCAGTGCAGTCATGTTGTGTGGGAGGGGCTTGGAAACTGGGAAGTAAAATACTTTATTAACTTGAGACACAGATCATTCTTCATGGAAAGGTACTTTTTTCTCTTTAGAGGTTCTTCTTTGTTCAAATAACCACTTGAGCTTTTAATTTAAAGCCAGTCTTATATATTTTAGTTGCATTTTTGACTCTGGACAAAACAACAAATCAAATTTGACATTTTGTTGCATGTTACACACGTCTAGGAGCAGCCAGGACGTAACATAATTAGGAAACTCCAACCTCTGCACCATTCAGACAGCCACTAGAGAAAGTTATAGTTTTATAGGAAACCTTGGATAAACTCCCAGCTTCTGAGTGTTCAGGAGTTTGCAGCGTGTCTCAGCTGCTGTTTGTGGTGAGACTCAGAGAGGAAGTGGTCTTCACGTCTTGTCCAGATAAATTAAGAACCGTTGGGACATTGTTCTGTCCTAAACGTCACCCTAAGACTGCTTCATATTTTTGGAGGACGTTTTTGTTTTAGCGAGATGCACATCGTGGCTCACTTCTCTCTCTCTCTCTCTCTCTCTCTCTCTCTCTCTCTCTCTCTCTCTCTCTCT